TGAGAAAAACCTGTACTTGTATGAGCCATATAAATCTGCAAAAATTTGTGCCATGTTTTGAACTAACCCGTCTCAAAATCTTGTCTGTCTACGCGTTTTCAGGTTAACTGACGAATCAATTAAATATTTTCAGGGATGGTTCTTAGTATGAAAATCAATTAGTTTTTGGCATTTTGGCTAAATGTTAAGCCTGCTATATTGGATTATCCGTCCTAAAATCTTGTCTGTAAAGTCTTGTCTACGCATTTTCAGGTGAACCGTTTGAGGGATCAATTTTTATTTTTTAGGAATGATTCTTAGTATAAAATTTTCGAACTGATTAGTTTTTCGGTATCCTGGGTAAATGTCAAGGCCCCATAATTAATAAATTCTGAAAAGGGGATGGGTATTGAAATGCGATAAGGTTAAAAGCCACATATCCCATGTTATTTTCCCATATGGAAAACTCATGCTATCCATTGTTTTCAGAATAATTTTGATCATCGAAAATTGATGTCTTCAAAACTAGACTTTCAATTAACATTCTATTTTTGAAGAAGTTTTAAACTCCCTGTTGACACGCGTGGTTGAATAATCTTTTCATGCAATAAAAATCAGAAAAAGAAGATCCTCTTTTGAGTAGATAGGCTCAACATTTTGAAAAAAATGTTGACATGGGGTCCCTATTCATAATTTTTGTTTGACTGATAATTTTATCATCATCTTATCATTCACTCGAAAGAAAACATATTGTTTTAATTTATTTATAAAAAAATTGTGATTCTGTTTAGTTCTATAAGCTTGTAATCTTCAGGGTAAACTGTCCTTTTTTGACATGCAACAATCAGCCAACTAGTTGTAAAAATTCATTCCTTCAGCAACGTCTCAAATATATGATTTTCAGGTATACCCATAGAGGATGCACATCGTTTTAAATTGATGGACATCCCAAGACAAGTATTCAGTTACATAAAATATATTTTGACTGTCTCGTCTTCTTATTTAATCCATTATATCCTCATATTAACGAATGAAAATCATGCAGTCTGAAAAACAGGGCTTGAACTGGAGGTTTTCTGGTATATTGCTTAATTATACAGCTTGGGATTTACAATCTTTAACCTTGCACGGGTGTTATTGAAAACAAGCGTACAAAGTTTTAGGTAGCAGGGGTAGTAATCCTGAAAGATTTTAATTCACCGATAGATTCTGAGAACAAAAATATATACGGTGTAAAAGGGTAGGGGTCAAATTATGGTCCTACTTTCCATTGATTTATATGGTGACCTAAATACAACTCTTTCCCTTATTATCGTATCCACAGTCAGGGCCAATAAGGGCCTTTAAGAAAGAGGACCATACTCCCCAGGGAACCATTGTGATACATGAGAAAGGCTGATTGTTATGATTGAGGAAAACTATATAAGGTTCTATTGCTCCACGATTTTATTTGGTTTTATTGTTTAGAGGTTTAGTCCATATTGTGAAGAGGCTAGCGGCCAGTTTGAAGAAAATGGAATCTTCATGAAATTCAGGTTGACACAAAATTACCACCCACTAATTTTGGAATTTTCTCAAAAATTAAGTAATCTTCCTGCTTTTTATGTATAGTTCGAGTGTTCAATGGAAAGGAGATTGGCATGGTTATACATTACTTGGAAATAAAGAGATGTCCCATTTCCGTTAAGAAAATCTGTCTTTCTTAAAATGTACCCAATAAGCGATTTTTAAAAAGGAAGAGGGAAAGTATCGTAACAAATATCGGACAGTCATATGTTGGATTTGGGCTATTTTCTGGGGATTTAAAGAGGTGCTTATGTTAGACCAATGCATTACCTCCAGAAAAAGCACTCCTAGAGATGATAAAATTATTTCGACTTTGAGACAGGGAAGATGCAAACAACCACCCACATGTTTTTTCTGAAATGTTTTCCTGATTTCAACCCCTTCCATCCCTGCTTTTTTAATTTTTATTCCACTTCATCTAAAAGGAATCACTTATTCCTTTAACTGTGTGTCAAAACACAACATATTGATGTAAGGAAAATTAAAAAAATAGTACCGTGGGTACTGGGCTCACATGGTGTTGCTCAAAAGTGAATGATGGCTAAAATGACAGAAAATAAAAAAACGGATATAATTTTTTGCCGATTTTTTGAAACAAAATTATTTCATACAACTACTCTTTACAAAGACATGGCTTTTTACAATGCAGGACACCTGAAATTATTTGTAAAGCTAGGAAATGGGCCAAAAGTGAATTTCGCGAGACAAAAACGGCGGCCATTTTGAAAATAGGCAAGCTTTTGGACCAGGAGTAATAGGGGAGTTTTCTGTATTGATGTTGAACAGAAATAGGAATCCTATGGACAGAGGTTTTAAAACGTGCCACTATTGTTGACGGACGGACGCACGGACAGACAGACGGACACATGAGTGATTGCAAAAATGTTTTAAGTAAAAGTGTATGGCTGAAAATAAAAACAGATATAATTTTTTGCCAATTATTTGTAACAAAATTATTTCATACAACTAATCTTTACAGTGACATGGCTTTTCACGATGTAGGACTCCTGAAATTATTTGTAAAGCTAGGAAATGGGCCAAAAGTGAATTTCGCTAGACAAAAATGGCGACCATTTTGAAAATAGGCAAGCTTTTGGACCAGGAGTCATAGGGGAGTTTTCTGTATTGATGTTGAACAGAAATAGGAATCCTATGGACAGAGGTTTTAAAACGTGCCACTATTGTTGACGGACGGACGCACGGACAGACAGACGGACACATGAGTGATTGCAAAAGCTCACCATGTGAGCTAATAATAAAAAGGGGAGTGGGGGAGTGGAAGGGTTTGAAAATCAGGAAAACATTTCAGATAAAACATGTGGGTGGGTTGTTTGCATCTTCCCTGTCTCAAAGTCAAAATTTCTGACTAATTACCCAAATGCGAGTAGGTAGTTACCAGTTTCACCACCAGGTGGCTGATTCGGGTCAATTAACATGGCAGGTATATAAGAAAGTTCCCTTACTCTTGAATATTATCAATTTAAGTGGCTCAATTTTCATATAACCCTTATGTGCCTGATACTTATACAAATGAAAATATGTCCAGTAAAGCAAAATATTATCTGTCCACTAAAAGAAAGGATATTTCATTTTTTGTGATTTTATAGCATGGGGTCTATGGGGATCGGGATCTCCCCGAGCTAGAAGTCACATTTTCAAAGAAAATTAATTTTTCAAAGTTGATAAACACTTTTTAAAACCACATTTCTAGATGTAATTTTACATGTAGATTTCAAATATGTACATTATACATTGTATTTTCATTCACTAAACATGTTGTTACATTATTCCAGCTGTGATTCCTCATACAGTCTTTCCTTTTCATTTCTATATAAGAGGACATTCACTCACTTTTGATTATGAACATGAGTTTTGGGTGTTGGCTCAGTAGCTTCTTGTTGTGTTTTGAACATTGAGATTTGAAATAGACCCATTTTAATTTGAAGTATTGTTATCTTTATATTGCTAACCACAGGCCTCCCATTAGTCACTTTTTGTTTATTATTCAGTTATTAGATCTGTTTTCTTGCAACCGAGCTTGAGCTCATATTTGTCACACTTTGTGTACATGAGATGCATGGTATAAGTTCCTTTTGGTCACTATAGATGTACAAGATGATAATAAGTACAGTAAAACCTGTCTAATCCGAACGCCATTGGGACCGGATAAAAGCGTTCAGATTAGGAGGTGTTCACATTTCGAGGTTTTTGCATCCGCAATAATCCGGATTCTGAAGAAATTAGAACACATTCTCGGTAAATATTTATAGTTCTTTTGACCACATAGCTTATGGCATTCCAGAAATTTGAAAATTTGATTCAAATGAATCTAATCATGCTGGAAAGCCCCATTATGAATGAGACCATTCAAGATTATTTCCCAAAGTTTTGATATCATGACAAAATTTGAGCTTTTTGTATGAAACATCAGAAATTTTATGAAAAGTGATCAGATTAGACAGGTGAATTTTTCAAATAAGACTGTTCACTGTTCAAATTGGGAGGTGTTCACATTTCAAGGTTTTTTTAACATGGGAGTCAATGGGAGGAAAAAATTGGACCGAAAAAAAGTGTTCAGATTGGGAGGTGTTCGGATTAGCCAGGTGTTCAGATATACAGGTTCTACTGTATTTCTTTTCAACAATTTAGCTTATCACAATGAATTAAGCCCTTTTTGATCAGAAGTTATGTGTTGTTTGCCAAATTGAGTGCTATTAGACAAAATGTCAAATAGTCTGTAAGAACTGACAACACTTTTAGAAACTAGTCCTGACATGGAGTAAGAATGCACTAGCATGACAAAATGTCACCACCTTTTGAAGGTCAAATCTAAAGACAGATTTGAACTTCTGAGAACTGGTAGATGATTTTGAAAAAGTTTTGGTCAAGCCTTTTGACCTTCAATGTTGCTGAACACTGTTTGTGATCTACTTGTAGTTTAATAAATATTGACCTTTGACCTTGAAAATATTACTCTTTCAGACCTACGTAGATATTTTGTGATAAAGCTGCCTTGAAATTAATTTGAAAAATCAACTCTTTTGACCTTTCAAAGGTCAAATCTAAATAAATTAAATATGTTGTCACGGTAACAGATTCCAGAAAAGTGTTGGCACTCATAACCTTGAAAATTTACCTTTTAAGACCTAAATAGGTATTTTGTGATTAAGCTGACTTTTGGAGTAGGCCTAATAGATTTGAACTTCTGAAAATGTAGATAATTTGAATTGGTCAATAAGCCAAGTGCCACCTGCAGAATGTCATTTACAACAAAATTGTAGTGACATTACAACAAAGTTGTGGTGACATTACAACAAAGTTGTGCTGACATTACAACAAAGTTGTGGTGACATTACAACAAAGTTGTGCTGACATTACAACAAAGTTGTGGTGACATTACAACAAAGGTGTGGTGCCATTACAACATCAACAACATAAAGCATTTCTTAAACATACACAGTGATGTATTTAATGAGAAACAGTTTTACAGAGATCTCTAATATTTCCATCATTCTTGTTTATTATTTACCAACTGAAGCCCTTATAAGGTAAGGTTCAATGTGAATACAGTCACATGTACAATCTCAAGAAATACCTCCTAATATAGTAATGTTTTATTCATTTACAAGCATGTGTAACTTTCTTGAAGATGTGTATTAAGTCTATTGCAGAAAGTTACATGTAAATAAATGAAGCATTGTGTCAAGCAGCTTGTGGAAAGCTGTAAAATAAGTGACCAAAGTAAACATGTAGCCAAAAATCGATACTTTGGACGGTAAGCATGGCAAACATTTTTAACATTTGCGAAATCAAATGGCAGTTTTTAGAACTAAAATGTCAGATTGTAGATGGATGTTGTCTTTCAAAATGTGAGCAAAACCTTTGTATCTAGTCTATTCTGTATCTAACCATGGGCATTCAAAATATTGAAAGCCTGTGATCTAACTCATTGTGTTAAGAATTCTGCACAAACATGTCAAATTAGATGTTGTCAAGCGCATGACTAAAAAATGGTAAAACTGTAAAATGAATGCAATGTGAGAATCTGAAAATAATTGGCAATGTCTAACAGTGTACAAGATTTATATGGCCGATGTTTTACACATTATGGCCTCATCATCTATTATCTCTTCTATTAAAGTTGATGCTACAATTGTAATGTAATAAATAACTTGAACAATTATATTATAACCATCATTATTGTTCACATTTCAGCCAAAATCTCCATATTGGAATAAAAGTCCAGTCTTTCGCACAGACTATAAAAAATCATGGCACATTGTAATACCCAAATGCCTCCAAATGGAAACTTTTATATGGAAATTCATCAGACTGAGAATAACTGAGTATATAATACCTAGAGTATAATGCCAAACTGGCTATGGTTTAATAGACAATATCTAATCAAAAATCATGAGATCAGATCAGTATTTCATCCAATGATAATTTAATGCATCAATTTTAATAAGAATCATTCCGGGTTTCTTCAATCCACATGTACATAAAAAGGAACTCAGCTTTTCTATTTTGAGATATTTATTACAATGACTGAAATGCCATTTTAAAAATGGGACTGATGATAAAAATACATAATTTTCAAATTAATAAGAATTCACATTAATATTTTGCAAACAATTAGTCTGAGTAATGTGTGCTCTTTAATAGTTTCTCAAACAAATCCCATATATTGTAAATTAGAATTATTCATTATTGGGTCGAAGTGGGTTAATAGGTTTCTTCCTATTATCATCCCTAGATACTGAACTTGACCCATATTAATGTATTAATATTTGCTCAATTTGAGCTAGTTTGCTTCATCAGCTGGTCTTTACACGTTTACTAGGGGTCCCTCTAACAGGGGTATCAGGCCTAGTTTTCTTAGATTGTTCCTTTAATGCTGTTTGTTGTTGTTTTAAAGTCTCTACCAATTCAATAATCTCCTTCCTCTTCCTGTTGACAGTCTCTTCCTGAAACCAGTTCTTCAGCAGGGCACCTGGAGGTGGGTATGTCCTGGGTGGAGTCTGCAATATTATAGTTATCTTTTATTAATATTTTTCATGAAATATTGTGTGTTTGTATAGTGTTTTCAATTTTGCTTTGGTATATACACTTGGTATATACTGTAATAAAGTTATTAAATCTAAACATATGTACATTGTACTTAACTTTTATTACAAAAACAACATACCAATGGTGTTTATGAGTTTGGTCTGTTGATTTAATGATTTAAAGATTGACCTGGAATAACCCTGCCTAATCAGATGGCAGGACTCAATCAATCAACCCATTGCTGTGCTAAATCTGTACCATACATTAGACTTATTTACCCTGGTCATATGAGCCTGTAACTCTTAATGAAGTGCTATGAAAATGATTAGTCATTGTCTTACCTTGAACAGCTGTTCCACATATTGCAGTAAATAAACTCCACAGTCACTGAAGTTGCTCTGCTGGGGAACCTTGGGGGTGGAACCCTTGATGGTATCCTTGTCAAACACCCTGGCACCCTCCTTATCCTTCTTGCGGATGTCCCACTCACAACTCAAGTACCTGAAAGAAGGAACTTTTTAATCACACTTCTTGACATTTCTTAAATATTATGAAGTTCATATTTTTATATTATTACATGGGAAACATTGTATGTTGGAAATCAATTCATTTTTATTAAATTGAGTCCATGGGATAATAGTGAAAACTAATAAATTGGAAATGGATATAAGTGACCAAACGTTAAATAAAGTATGTAATTGTGGTCCCCTTAGTATGTAATCCCCTATATATATCACCCATAGTATGTAATACCATGTATATATATATCACCCATATTATGTAAGCCCCTATATATATCACCCATAGTATGTAATCCCCTATATATCACCCATAGTATGTAATCCCCTATATATCACTCATAGTATGTAATCCCCTGTATCTCATACTTGAGTGGGTTTGGGGTAGATATCACCCGGGAATATATATCGAATCTGAGGAGCGGGCAGGATATATTGTATATGTCCCGCTCCAGGCCAAATGCGGGCAGATATAATATATCCATCCCGCTCCCGGGAATTTTTCAAAATTTTAAAAAAGTTTAAATATCGAAAGTTTTAATTTTTTAATTTTAGAAATTTAAATTTTTTAAGTTTAAATGTTACAGTTTCATTGTATTGAACAAAAAAAATATTACGAAAATTTAAATATAAATATCTTGTCATTTGAAAAAGGTGGAAAAGGTTATAGCTACCCTAAACCCACTCAAGCATGAGATACACCAGTTATGCATGGTCGGTTTGGATACATGGAATATCCTTTGGGATACACAATACATCTTCCCTCGGTCCCTTCGGTCCCTCGGGAAAATATATTGTATATCCCTCGGGATATTCCCTGTATCCAAAACCTCCCAGTACATAACCCCTATATATATCACCCATAGTATGTAATCACCTATATATCACCCATAGTATGTAATCCCCTATCACCCATAGTATGTAATCCCCTATATATCACTCATAGTATTGTAATACCCTATATATATATCACCCATAGTATTGTAATACCCTGAATTTATGACTCCCAGATGGGTCAGCTTTACTTACTCTCTGAGTGTGCGTATGACTGTAGACCTGGAGGGACCAGCTAAGGAGTCAAAGATCAGGATACATGCCCTACAAACAAGGAATAAATACTGAATCCAAGAATTATTCAAATGCAATATAAACTTATTAACATGTTACGGTTAAGCTATAACCATTGAGTTACGACGTGCAATTAAAACTCCAGTAAACTTTTATCTATAAGTGTTTTGGTTATTGTTTTATCATTGATTCATTTGTGTTACTATTCTAGAATTTGTGTCAAATCCATTTGATTATGGGAACATTAACGCAACATAATAATAATACATGTACTGTAGCTTTGTGGAGACGTGCATTCATTTCTACTCAACCCTCTTAAGATTGAACTGCCTAATTTTGGTATTTCTGTCTTAGCATCTTAAATGTATGTCTGTAGCCTAACTTTATTCCTTTTTACCAGTCTCCTTCACATTTCAGAATATGACCTATCTGAAATTCCTCAAGTATTTGTACTTACTGTTTGGTGTCTATGACGGTCAAAGGTTGGCTGGTCGGTCTGAGAGCTAGAGGTACACTAACATCTACCTTCTCCTCTTCCTCCTTATTGCACTACAACAGAGGAAATATTTGATAACACATTATTACAGAGGATACATTTGATATTACACTACAACAGAGGAAATATTTTGTATTTCACAATGACAGAGGAAATATTTGATATTACAACTATGACAAATGAAATGTTTGATATTACACTATGACAAATGAAACATTTGATTTTGCATCAAAACAGAAAAATATTTGATATTGCACTTCAACAGAGAAATTATTTGACATTGCACTACAACAGAGGTGATATTTGATATTGCATTTCAGAAAAGGAAATATTTATATTGCATTTCAACAGAGAAATAATTCCAAATTGCACTTCAACACTGACCAACAAGTTGAAAAACTGAGGTATCAATCTATAAATATTTCACCAAATCCATCAACCATTTTTATGAATTATTACCTGGACAGACAAGAAGGATTGGCTCCCAGAATGCAACATAGATATTTTTGCCATATATGCGGATGTCATGATATCAAAATTCAAATTCAAACAGCTGCCATTTTGTTCACTTCAACATTTGAATCACAAGAAATGATCGAGATATTGGTTTGGATCTTTTGGACTGTTTAATTTATAGTCGGTTATAATTTCAGAAAATAACGACATTTCAACGGTTTCATTGTTGGAAAATATCGAGTTTCAATCCTGGGAGCCAATCCTCCTTGCTGGACAGACAAACTGACAGGTGGGCAAGTTCTCCATATCCCTATTTAAACTTTGTTTGATAGCAACATAAAATCGAACATAGCGAGTAGGATACTTCTATTTTATGGCTTGTATTGTAGATTGCAATGATTTAATATTAATTAGAAGGCTTATCATTGGTAATCTAAATTCACCAATAAATTTTGTTTTAAACACTTTTAGTGAAGAGCTTGTTGATTGAATTGAACATTAATTTTTTCAAATGTCAATTTAAATGAAACATGTGAACTACACGAATATGTGTTGAACAATATCATATAAAGCACTAAAATGGTCTTTAATAACCTTCTTTAATAATAATTAATTAAAATCAAAGTATGTTTTCCATAGACTAACTAAGCAACGCATATCTACAAGGAAGTGAAATGCTTTACAGGGCAAACATGAAGAATTGACTAAAATTGAAATCATGTTGTGTTTTACAGGTGCAAATGACTAAAACATTGATTTTCATGACAATCAACATTCTCAAATTAAATATATTGTCTCATACCATAGTTGAGGTCAAATCAGTAGGATAACATGTAAATATATTTATGATATTTTGCAAACGCACATATTGATATCACCTTGTGGATAAAAACCAGATCAACGGCAACGCCAAAGCGTAGCAAATCCCATCGAACAGAAATGGCTGGCATTTTTACAAATATATAGCAAATATCATAAAATAACACACATAAGAAAGGCTATCATTTTCAAAATGGTTGCTAACTAGCTAAGTTGTCATCAGAAGAAGTAATATGCTTTTAAGTTGCCACATTTGTTCGATGGGATAATGATATCACTCAAAATCATATGATATCCTATACTTAATTGTGATTTCCATGGAAATGAAATACAAGACCTTGTGGAACATGGGGTATTGCACCCCCCCCCCCCCCCATATAGCTAGAATGACCTTTGACAGTAAAGATATCTAATAAATTAGAGTAATATCATCATTTTGAGGTTGCCCTATCATAAATGCCTAGCTATTAATATTGCAATGAATGGATTTTCGTATACCAAGTTAGATACATGTATATTTCAATATTTCATCCAAATGAAACTCGTAAAATGTTATCTGTTTTTATATCAAGTAATTGTGAATCAATTATATCTAGACCTCTGTCCACCACGTGACCTGATATATTATAAGCATTTGTACAAGTAAATTGGTACATCTTTACTCCAAGTGCATTAGGTAAGTTTGGAATTTCTATTATATCTTCTGCAGTACTCTCCCCAAAGGATTTTGTTATTTTTAGTGCAATATTTTAGAATTTTTTAACTTTTTGTGAAACATTTTTTGATTTTTTAATTTTTTGTGCAACATTTTAAGATTCATTAATATTTTTGTGCGCCATTATAAAATTTCCTGATCTTTTATTGTAACATTTTAGGAAGCACATCTAATTGCATTGAGGAGCATTTTGGTTTTATAAAATACATGGGGTGCTGCACCTCAGAGATTTCAATGTGGGGAGAGCACCGCTTCATGAACTAAAATCTTCAAATAAACAAAAGTGAACAAAATGTAGTTTGCTTCAGATCTGCTATTTGTCAGATGGCTTGGAGAATTATAATATTGAATATCCTTGTATCAGTTTTAGTTCAAGCAATAATGCAATTTACCATTTGTATTGATGACTACTCTTTGATGCTATGTTAACTAAGCTAATTTTTGTTATATTATCTCCAAATCAAAATTGAAGTTGAATTTACCAAACAATGGCAACTCCATAATAAAACTATGGCTGTATTACAGATTATTAAAATCTTGAGTACTTTTGATTATTTTTCTTTCAAATTTTTACATTTTGTACAATTATTAAAATTAATAAAAAATTTAAAAGTAGATCCACCATGATGAGTGCACCCATTAATTAGTCAAATCCAGGTGTATTTTGCCCCCAACCCCACATGAACCCCTCATTTGAAATTGAATGTAATTCTTCCCTGGTGTTGGATTTTAATTAGTTAGAATAATATTCGTTATGTTTTCTGCCCATTGTAGATAATATGCTTACATTGTTTTAGGTGCATCGTCCTATATAAGAAGACAACATCAAAATGAAATTGAATATTTTGCTGCTTCTGGCATGTATGTCAGCTAGTGTCATGTCCCAAGATATACCCTCAATGGTGAGTCTAGCTGAACTTATGGGTTCATTGGACTCAGATATTTTTGGACTTGAATTAAGGGATGGAAGCAATGAATTGAGTGCAACTGCCTTAGAAGATTTAGAAAAACATAAGGAAGCAAACACATGTAAAGTCAAACTGGAAGCTGGCTGCCCACGAAGAAAAGGAAAGACAGGACAATGTTTCAATGATGTCCATGCAAATTGCTGCTACCTTACTAATCCTATGACATTTCTGGAAGGTGGTACTTTAATGTGAGTGTCTAACATTTTCAACTGAAACTACAGAAATTAAGCTCCCATTCATTCCATACAAATATTTCTAGTGTTGCAGCCAAAATTCTTAATGGTTGCCTCTCATCTGCAAAATTACATTTTTTCATTAATAATGTTGGCCATTTTAATTGAGCAGCCATCTTGAAAAATCCTTCTTTGTGTGTCCCTGAGGCATCAGCATATAAAATAAAAACAAATCCATCAACTGGTATTTGAAATTTCATTTTTTACAAAAATGGTGGCCATTTTGAAATTAGTGGCCGAATTAAAAATGGTTTCTTGAGCACGAGTCCTTTGGTTATAAGACATTAAGCAATAACATTTCGACCAAATTCTATGACTGGTATCAAGGTTATCAAAAATAGTATTTTTTCATGGATATTGTGGCCTTTTTAAATTTAGCAGCCATCTTTAAAGTATTTAAGTTATCAAAGATTACATTTTTAAGAAAAAAGCAGTCATTTTGATTAAGTGTGGTTACACAGAATACCATTAAATTTTATTTCAGAGCTAACTCAACCAAGGTGAATGCTGTTTGCATAACAAACAGAAACTGGAACAAAGGAGAGATTGATTGTGAAGATGTACACAACGAGAAACACTATATAATAAACATCAATAGATAATAGATTAATTATCCAAATTGAATAATAACCAATAAGATCAGTTACTGTTGAATAACATTCTGCCCGGGATTTGTTATTAATCATATAGAAATGTCTTATCCGAACAGCTTACATGTACGTATTATCCTTTGCGGCCATTAACAATTTTACATATCTAATTAGCTAAGTAAATAAACATGCGTCTACACAGTCGCAGTTGACTATGAAAAGCTCAATCATCAATCTTATTTTTATTTTCTTGATTTAAAGATTTATTATGTTTAAAAAAGAAAATGTTTGATTTTTAAGCTCAACCTTTAATTCTTATTATCAAGAACGCGCATGCAAATTCGCCAACCATGTACATTGTTTGCAGTCTGCGCAATTTAATGTAAATCATTGTATATTTTTCGATATACTGTAATACTATTCATTATTTGTAAAATTGAACCGAATATAATCTAAAATTAATCAGCTTTAAATACATTATATTTCATAAAAGTTGCCTTAAAACAATACAATTCGTGCGTTTGTAAATGCTCTAAAGCCCCGCTAGTATATGAACGAATCCTAAATAGAAATGAGTAAAATTCGTTCCCATTAGTGTGTACACGTTCTACACCGAGACTTCTCCTTTAAATCAAATCAGTCCACTAGTATGAGTTAAGAGTGGACAGAGGGACGGATGGCTTCATTCAATGGGATAATTAAGATATTTCAAAACCAGTGTCATTCTTCTATGCATACATCACTCCAATCATTAAACAAGCTGTTTATTTTAAAACTATTCTTTACGAATCTATGATAAGTGTATAATGTTCAATCATATAAATCGCAGTCAGTGATTGTTCTCCACACTCACCCATCCCCCTTCCTGACATGAACTATTTTGGTAAACCATTGACAGTGTGGAAAGGATTTTTACACTCGAGTGTCAAGGGGGGGGGGGCAGTTACAGAAATATACAAGGCGATGGTTCAAATTGGACAATTTTCAAAACTGCTCAACATGGTAAAAACTTCACGTTTTTAAAGAATGCTTGCCCGGCGAGTGGTTTGCTCTGGATTGCGAGAGAACAGAAACTTTGAGTTAGGATTTTTCCTAATACTATCTATACCACCCTTGGTATACGCAGCTAACGAAAATTGACCGGTACGGGTCAAAAGCTGGACCGGTACGGGTTAACGGTTTTATTTGAATTTAAAACAGCCATAACTTGCTCAATATTGACTTCCTCGTGTCTAATTTGAAATATATGATGCCTCCCGATGCTTTTAAGTA